CTCACCCTGAGATGGGGTAAGGAGGGGTTGAGGGCACAGAGCCTGTTGGCAGGAAAAGCAGGAGCCCTTCTGAAAACCCTCAGTAGGGTCAGGGCTGAGAGCCAGGGGTCAGGGTCCCTCACCTACCTTCCCTTCCCTTCCCAGAGTCACCTGCTGTGTCCATCATCCCTGTCATGGGAATTGTTGCTGGCCTGGTTCTTTTTGTATTTGTGGTCACTGGAGCTGCGGTGGCTGTTATGAGGTGGTGGCGGAATGCAGGTAGGGAAGTCAAGGGTTCTGGGTGTACCTGGTCTAGGCCCCTGGTAGAAGTGAGCTCTGCCTCATTAATGGGAAGCATCATCCACACACACTTGCTGACACTCACTCTATTGTAAAGCACAAGGAAAATAAAGGACAAAATGATCACCATTATGATTGTCATGGTGGGGACCTGATCCCAGCATTCAGAGGGCAAAGGGGTAGGTCCCTGCTGGATACAGACCTCCAGGAGAGTGGTTGGTTAAGTGCCTGGGCATCTCCTATCCTCATGCCTCTTGATCCTTTCTAAGGTTTCCAGTTACAGTTCAGGATTCTTCCCTGGGATCCAGGCCTAGGAGAATCCTCAAGCCCTCATAGCTCTGCCTCCTCCCTGTTTTCTTCTCATAGGTAGAAAAGAAGAGAGCTATTCCATAACTGTTCAGAGGGTGTTGTCCCTGAGACCCTTGGAGTAGTGTAGATGGGAGAACAAGGGGGGGGGGTCCCTCATCTGCCCCATAATTTATTCATTCTTCACATATCTTTTGGATTTTGACTCTGTCTTATTGTTTTTCTGACCCAGTCAACGTCAGTGCCTGGCACTCCAATATTCTGTAGCTCCATAAAGTTGAGACTCTGGAGGGCTTCAAATGGTAGAAGGTGTGATAGAGGGGAATGGAGAAGGTTGTGGGAATTCTCTTGGATCTTGGGTGAGTGCTGGGTTCTTCAGAATGTTGCCACTTAAAGCAACTGCCCTGATTCTGTTCATCACACTTTTGTTCCGTAGCAGAGACAGCTGCCTTGTGTGGGACTGAGCAACACAAGATTTTTCAAGCCTTTGTGACTAGAAGAACCCTGGAGTCCCTTTCTGTCATGGATTATTAAGCCATCCACATTCCTATTGGCATAATGTGCAGAAGTGAGACCAGTGCATAGGACCCATGTCCTGCACTGTCCCTTGCCCACTCACCTTTCACCTTTTCTCTATTCTAGCAGAGTTCAGGCTGGGATGACTCCTTCCTTCTCTCAACATCACTGTGCACTGAGCCACAACTTCTTACTTCCATCCTGAATATAAGAATCAGAATATAAATATTTTTCAAAATCTTGATCCAATGGATAGATTGGTTAATAAACAGAGAAAATTCCAAATTAGAGAGAGAAAATAA